AACGTTTAGCACAAAGCATTGAACACCCGACATTAAGGGTCATATCATTCTAGTCCAAATTTATGTTGATGATATTATATTTKGTTCCACYAATCCCTCTTTGTGTTTACGATTTGTTGAACGCATGAAGAAAGAATATCAGATGAGCATGATGRGAGAACTGACTTACTTTCTAGGTCTTCAAATCAAACAATCTGATAAAGGTATATTTATCAATCAGAGTAAGTATGTCAGGAATATGTTGAAGAAATTTGACTTGACYAACAGTCCATCTATGAAGACTCCAATGGCTCCTCCTCTCTCGCTGAGTAAGAATCCAAATGGAAATCCTGTAACGTTATTATTTATAAAGGAATKATCGACTCCCTATTGTATCTCACAACTAGCCAACTTGATATTATGTACTCTACTTGTTTATGTGCACGTTATCATTCTGAACCTAAGGAGTCCCATCTGATTGCTGTAAAACGCATATTCATATATATGAAGGGAATTTCTGATATGAGCCTTTGGTATCTCAAGGACTCAGGTTTCAACCTAACTGGTCATACAGATAGTGATTTTGCTAGTTGCAAATTGATAGGAAAAGCAGCACTGGAGGCTGTCAGCTTTTAGGTGGAAAGTTGGTGAGTTGGACAAGTAAGAAGCAAAACTTAATGTCCACATCAACTGCTGAGGTTGAATATGTTACTCCTAGAAGCTGTTGTGCCTAAATCCTTTGAATGAAAAACCAGCTCAACGCTTATGATCTTCATCTCTCAAAGATCTCTATCTATTGGGATAACACTAGTGCCATTGCAATTGCAAACTCAACAACTATGTCGGTCTGCTCGACATCCCTACAAACAAGGCATAGTTTGCAGGTGCAACCAAGTTCTTCAAGAACTCTGTGCTAGGATACACCCCTTCCTTCGAGTCCAYCATGGTCAAAGACCTCTTCCAGCAATTCGGGTTTACTGCTGAAGCCAAGAAAGACACTAACAAAGTTGGGAACAAGGTTGAAAAGATCTTTTTCACTTTCAACCGTATGACTGTCATCTTTGGTGTTCCAACCATCAGGGTTGCTCTTCGTCTTCGAAAGACTATGCCTTTCGCCAATGAATCATACACTGAGCACATAATCAAGACCTTGGATGACATTAGCTACAATTGGCCCTTGAAGAAGGATACCAGCGAGCCCAACAAATCAYCGACRAAGATARAGAAGAACCGCATATCTGTGGTATGGCAATACCTCTTCTCCACTTCATCCAGTGGATGGGAGCAAAGACCGACGGTCAGGATCGGGCCTCACGTGTAGCATTGATCATTCGTGTTTCAATGATCAGGCAGATCAATGTAAACTACGCATAGTTGATCTTCAATAACCTGGTGCTGAAGCTGAACAAGTGCCAGGGGGAGAAGATGGTGCCTTACACAAGGTTTCTCAGCGGGATACTCTCAAGGATCTTCGGTGCCAACTACCCCGCTGAAGGTAACCTACCCATCTATCGGTTTGGGTCTAGGATTCTAGACCACAAGTCAAAGCCGACAGACATTGGTCTATTCATCCCAATCATGTGGATAACCAATGGTTCTTCGACCCTCCCTGGTTCTTCTTCTTCTCTCCCTTCACTGGTTAAGACTGGGACAAACCCCTCTCAGTCTATCACGACCACCACCACTTTATCCTCTAACAAGATGACACAGTCTAAAGCCATTCTTAGTCCTTCAATRAAGGCTAAGAAAGCCAAAAAGGGGAAACTACATTTCTAGCAGAGACCTCTCAACAGATCTCAACTATTAAAAATAGCCTTACCCCGAGGCACACTCTTTACCCCAACCAAGCTCTTCARTGCTCTATTCAGACACTGTCGTATAAGCGGCCAATCTCCTAACCACTTCAGTGACCCAAATCACTGAAAAGTGTAAATATCAGCATTGCCACTACTGAACACTCACGTACTTACTCAGCCATCATTTCTTCTTCTTCTCCTTTGATTTTAATCACTCGCGCTGATGATCCATCAATGGTTGTCCCCACTGKTGGTGAAGCMMTCACCAYDRSACCYRAGGTCGCTCCTCTCGAGGCGCCTCAGATACTTGTTGCSTCTCCTCATGAAGGCACATGTGTTATTGCCAGTGTCAGTCCTTCAGATGACACTGAGGCCCCCTCAGGTACAATCTTAACCTACCATTTTTTTTCTTCATTTATAATACTGAGCTATATTATGCTCAAAGGCCTAGTGTTTTTATAGGTCCTTCAGGAACTGAACCCTCAGCCATAAAGATTGACGTCTATGACATGGCTGAGGATRTGAAGCTGTCATTTCCCATTGTGGACACCATTYTCGATAAGATGGACGAGGTGCACAARGAAATACCTTCAAASGAAGAAGTGACTAGCGACTTCTCTACTGTCAAAGATGAGGTTTGTGACCTCATGGAGTCTCTAAACAAAGTGAAGATGGAGGTCAAAGCCAACACTAACACTAATATAGAGTAAAATACTATTTTGGTCCTGGTACTTTACACAAAACTCTCTGAAAACTGTTTATTTGTTTTAATATAGTCAAAAAATGACCATTACAATTTAAAATTTTCTTTTAAAGTGGTCCATGACATTGTCTTTGTTGGTCAAAATGCATTAAGTAAGGAGCATTTTTAACATTTTTGAATGTTGACATTGAAAAAGACATAGTCCACCCAACTATGCAAATGCATACCCYTCCTAGTCACTCTGATGCCTCTCAACAGGTATCGATTGYATCTTCTCAAGKGGACTTAGCACATAGTCTATCTATTCCACATTYAGAGGAATTAGATATTGAAACTAGTAGACAACAGCCCCTGTTTAAGACTTCTTTGATTACCACTTTGAGTCTAGAGCCTTTAAACACTTTAGACATATTTGTCTGTCATTTGAAAACTTTAAGTGATGATAAAGTCTTAGGTATTCGTAAAGAAACCMTTGAATACCGTAAAGAGTATAAGTACTTCCTTAAAGCCAAAATCCAACCCATTCACTTTGTGCGAATAAAGCACYGAATTGTCTCGATAAAGAAGGTGGAAGCCAGAAGACTTRTAAGAGTTTGGTATCCAGTTTTCTATGTCACAAGGCAAGATGATAGAKAATGGTACTTTAGTGAAGCTGATTTTTSGAATMTGTACTTGAAAGACTTGGAGTTTATGTACCATAATTTCCAAAACYAGACTGYCAKATTGGAAGGAATCGTCAAAGGATTAGAAGCTATCAAAAGGTTTCTCAAGTGTCAGAGCAAAYTGTCTTCTATTATAGATGTTCAGRTGGGTTATGAAAGCAATCAAAAGCATGTTAATYTGAAAAAGCCAAATMAAGAKACTTAGAAGACGTTGATGGTTATCCTYTGTACATGATTCTTGAAGATCCAGAGTTAGGTGTGATATRTGAAAACTCTGAGAGGTAAGAGGTTTMTGAGGTTYAGTGAACTCAAAAAGTACRGTGATGGAACGATCAAAATTATCAGGAAGTAGCTCGAATTAAAGAAAGCTTAAGATGACAAAACGTCGGGGTCGAACAGGTTGAATTTAAGAGAAAGGTTCTTACTACTTAAAGCTCTAGAGCTGTTTGATGAGAAGATTGAGTAGAAGAATGCTATAAGAAGATTTGATACACATTTGGGTTTTAGACGTTCAAGATTTTCAAATTCTAGAGCTTGAATCCAAAGGGGAGAATATTGGGTTCAATTCTTTGTGCTTTAATGTTGTATTCAAGCTTTATATTTTCTTAGTATTTTTTCTTGTATAAATAGGTTTGTTCCTTGTTTTTTAGTATGTACTTTGAACTTTGAAGAAAATCTYCGTGTAATCTGAATTGTATGCATTATTGAAGCTAATAGAAAATCCATTGAAGAGCTCTCTCTCTACATCTTTTTGTTATCTGCCATTGATGATCTTGTAATTGTTCTTGTAGTTTATGACTGATTGATTAACATCTGGAACATCAGCGTTTTGTAAAAGTGCTTATTAACTTATAGTGTCAAACYGGAGTTTTGTAAAAAGTGTTTGGATTAGCTTATGACGGTACYAAAACGCAATAATACCGCCATAAGCTGATAAGTTGTTGTTTTTAGTGTTTGACAAATTTTACTTATACATGTAAAATGATAAAAAAAGGACATTCCCCATCTCCTTTTTTCATCTGATGATTTTATCTTCGATTMTCAGAGGCGATTCAGGTTCTGGTTTCATCACTCGCTGATGAATCCCCAATGGTTAAGCAAGCATCCATGGCCTCCATTAAATCCCTGCTCCTCTGTTCGTCTTTCTTCTYCCCCTTTTCACTACTTGCGATCTATTTCTCTTTATTTTCTTTTTCTTCTTCTTTGTTTTTTTGATTCAATGCAGTAATGCCATCAAGTTCTGGAAACTTCTTTTCTGCTCYTGGTGCTTCCCTAATTCTTCGATCTTTTTGATCATCTAAATCTAGATTTAAATCTAATGTTTTTAACCTCCATGGATGATTTCCTAGGCATTCATCGACATTTAGATTAACATCCTTCTGTAACCATAATTGCAAAACCTAAACCATGGAGATGATGCATATGGTGAAACAAGCAAGAACACATGAAAGGAGTCGAACGTAACTGATGAGAAGTATTAGGTTTAAGGTTAAAAAAGTAATTTGGTTTTTAAAGCTAATAAGTTGTTTCTGATTTCTCTTTAAAGGGGTGTTTGGAATTGCTTATTTGAAATAACTTATGCTTTTTTATAAAAGTCCTTATCAACTTATTATAAGTTAAAATGATTTAACTTATTCAAAAACTTTTTATTACCGGTTTGACACTGATATAAACTATTTATCCGATCGGTAAAAAAATATTTATCCAAACACTAAAAAAAAATATTTATGGGTGTGGCACCGCAATAATATAAAATCTGGTTTAAATAAGCAATCTAAACACTCCTAACCGACGCTGCTGCGGCTTCTCAACTCCGTCGTGGACCGTCTGCGCCTTTTCTCCTCCGTCTGCTGCTGCTGCTGCTGCTGCTGCTGCTTTGTCTGTCACCACAGCCGCTGCGTCGGTCTCCACTCTGCCACCACCGATGATGCCTTTCCTCTTTTGCTAATCAGGTGAGGTTGCATTCCATCTCTCACATCGTTTGTGTGATACACCATAAGAAACTTCAATGTTGGTGGGGCGCTTTCGTGCACCAATGGATTGTGTGATGTTTCTAATTTTGTGCGACTTACCTAACAGATCGTTTCATAATCTGTCCCCCTCCTATTTGTTGATTTATCTTTTACCCCTTGGAATTTAATCGGTTTCTTTTAGTTTGATTGTGTTTGACCATGTATTCTATCACTTTTTAGCTTAGATTATTTCATGGATCAGTGTTCCAGAGTTAAAACATGTGACTTCATGCATAGGGTTTGACCCAACATCCGATTGAATTGAGAAGAAATCGAATCACAGTCCGTCGGCTTCACRGTTGAAATCCTTTGTTCTTTCAATGTGCAACAGAACTCACAAAATGCGACAAGATTATGTAAGCTTTTGGGAAGAAAAATATGTGGTTGCTGTGCATGTGTCTAAGCAAGTTAAACTCTCATGTTTGCATGTTTTTTTGAAAGGTTTTCATGGAATTGGTTTACCCATAAAACTTAGAACCAATACAATCTCAAACATTTGGTTTTTAATATTGTAACATCACCTTAAAAGAAAGGTAGAAGCACCCGATATGGAGATTCAGCAAGGTAGAAGCACCTTACTCTCTGGACTTTCTCATAGATTTTGTGGAGATTATTGGCTAAGTTCTTTATGTTTGGATGAAGATCTAGGAATGATCTTGTAAGCGTTTTCTTATTTGATTTTCTGTTCTTTTTCAGAACATTTAAATTTATGAAATTTTGATATTAAGTTTAATTTCATAAAGAATTTATCTTTTTTTYTCCTTACTATTTACTAAGATGATGCAAATTCACTCTATGATGTACTCTGTTTGCTACCACAAACGTATCACTGAAATGGGACTTACAAAATGAAAAGAAATGGAGAAAGGAAGTAAATCGAAAAGGCAACATAGAAACTAAGATTGTTGATTCTTTTAGTTCATATATAGATGTTTGACATAGAAATTCATGTACAGATGTTTGACATGGAGTGGTTCGAAGATTGTTGCAGTTTCAACTAAAACAAGTGTGTTTATATCTTGTTCTTGCAAGAAGAAACATTATTTTATCTTGCAATCCTTTCGAATCATATGCTTTAAGAATCATGCAATTTTGCATTGCACACAATAGTCCTTGGTTTTTCTTTCTTTTTCTTCTCTCTTATGACTCGAGATGATAARCTTACTTTGTGATCCTCACACTCTTTACTCCACTTGTTAAAATAAATGACTTAAGATATTGTTGGACTGGTGTTTACTGATAATGATACACCAGTRCTGTATTTTGGTCAACTTTCAGTTTGTATCCTAGGAGACGATATTCATTATGTGTATGATGAGATTCGAGCACATGTTAACCTTAAATGCAGCTTTTACGCATGTCCATATCACCCAAGATCGTGATAGTCTCTAGTAAAATGTGGGCATTTTGATATCACTTATATTATGACACATACATTCAAAATCTTATYTGTTTGGAAAAAGTCGGTGTGGCACTTGTGTGAAACATGGCTTTTGTTTTTTCTTGGTMTGTCAATGCACATAGTTTGTTATACCTTGGAAGGCTGCTTTCAGGTTTAGATATGTTAGGAGTAAGGGGTGGTAGACTGGTAGTAATAATAAAGTTGTAATAGCAGTAGACAAGTGTAAAAAGTGGCGCAGRGGTAATCAAGGGTAAAAAGGGAAAAGTATCAGTGATCCTGGGAGAGCTCCAGCCTCTCGAAGAACTGGAAAGACTTGTGATCATTTGATTTTGAGGGATTGAATGCATCATACCTCTGCAATTTACTACTATTGGCTGTGGAGTACTGAGTACGTCATAGTTCAACACCGAAATTAACAAGCAAGAATTTAATCATCTTCAATGGGCTTCGTTAGGAGTTTCTGGCTTAGGGGCTGTTTGGTAGCAGCTGAATGATTTTCTGCTGGATGATCAAGTGATCAGAATACTTAAGAGGCTCCGYATGATTTGGCACAAAATGAAAAATGATTGTTTGGCAAGTGTGTTCTGAATGGAGAGTCTGAATAACATAAAATTACCATTTTAACCTTCTATATGATATAATGCTGAATGAAGTATGACTGTTGATATGTGTTTTGGATTAATAAATAACTTTGCTTATATGTAACTTTGAAGTATAAATTACAAAAAATATATATAAATTACCGTATATTGATAAACTTGGATGGAAACCATGATCAAGTAAATGCAGCCATTTTGACTTCACAGAACTATACCAAAAGAATATCTCTATATGAGGTATAACAAAAGCATATCAGGGCTAACAAAAATCCATATACATACTTTAGTATCACAGTGCTACAAGAACCTTCAATATTATACATTTGAACAACAAAAAACCATTTTCGTCYACYTTGAGAAGGCTTCTTTCTTGTAACCCCAAACYTTTTCAAAGACACATCATTGTTGTCTGAAACCCCTGTGATCAAGAAGAAAGTGGAAAATYCTCTAGCTAAAAGTTAATCCATTTTGGGGCTGCTGCATTTTGGACRACAATTTGATTTWAAAAGAAACAACACAAAACCACCWAAAAGTCCAAGAACATGAAACATAAGAAGGGTGGTCCTATCGTGCAAAGTTTTCAAGTAGGAATAGATTGAACAGTACGAAGGGTGTGGTATCCCAATAGCCTCCAGAACCTAYTGCATCCCATCCACAAACATACAAAAMAAGTCCTTCGGTGGATTTTATGCATGGATCTTTTGTCTATGGCTCTCACATTATTGCAAATCTATGCCACTTTCAACAACCCAATATCAGAAACTTCATCATAAAATATGTATTCTTTTCACTACGAAATACTGTTAGGGTCCTTGTGATTGAGATTCCTAACGAAACTTTTAGGGTTCCTGTGACTGAAATTGTTAGGGTTCTTGCTATTGAAAGTGTTAAGGTTCTTGTGATTTCAATCAAATCAAGGAGATGAACSAGTAGCAAGAGGAAGATGAGAGACAAACCAGTAGCAAGGGCAATATAAGAGAGAAGCAAGGGTAACYGTGGAAAAACAGTGTCTCTGAATGATACTGATATGGCACGTAGAAGGGAGCGATTCAGAGCTTGTTGGTACTATTCAGAAGATGTTATTTTTTTTACCAAACAAKAATTCATCTGACCGAATATTCAGATGCAAACAAACAGCCCCTTAGGGAAGTAAGTTATGATTTAGAAGTTTATGTATCTTATGGAATAGTTCAAAATGCTTTGCAGCTTCGTGAAAGAAGATCTTGATTTCTAAGGCTCATTTGGATTATTAAATTATTCTTCTCCAACAGCACAGACTTGGTAGGATTTATCCACTAATATCTGTTGCAATAATCATTTGCATGACCTAAACTACTTTTCAGCTTTATGCATGCTTGAATATTAGAAATTTACATTCACAGAATTCATGTTGATYGTCTCTTTTTCCATTACTTTGTACTCTTTATGACCAGAAGTTTTTCAAGTTYAACCAGAGGAGTGATTTGTTGGTTCTATTGCCGGATAAAAGCTTGTTTCATATCTTATGCAGCTGGTCATAATGAGCTGGAATATTGACTGTTGATCCAAATATGAGGGACCGTCATGATGAGAATCGTACCAGGCGATCAAAGAGAAATTCTAGTAAACAACACTTTAACAAAGTAGTGGATGGCCGCGTATTTGGGGATGTCGATGATGACTATGCATGGCTTCTTAGTTTCTTGACCGACACTAACGAACAGAGAAAATCCTCTACGCAGGAAGTCATTGCTGAAGATGAAAATGAATATGCAAACGATAAAGATCCTCAATATTGCATGTTTTTRAAGGAACTCACAGAAAATGGCAAATCGTATAAGCTTAAAATTTCCAGAAATGATGAGGCTGTAAAATTTCTGGAGTATGAAGAGCAGGACAAGTCATATGGGTATGATCTCCCAACTTATACAAATATTAGCGTTGGTAACAGTGGAGATAAAGTGAACTCCTCGGAAGATATGSGGGGTAGGCAAATCAATCAGAAGGTAAAACGGACTCTGCATGGAAAAAAAGGGGAGGTTTCAACCACCAAAGAAATCTCAAGGAAAAAAAAGATTAAGGAGCATACGTGTATATCAGATCCTTTCCATGATGTCCCTGTGGACTCTTGCTACCGGTTGTTGCTAGATGGTTGCATACACTCTGAATATGGTGCATTTGTCTATGAAGGAAAACGAGTGAATTATGAAGAGAAGCCTACAAGTTCTGGTTCAGATATTCTGATTTGGGATAATCTTCAGGATTGCAGTGAAGTAAACAATAAACAACAAATAACTGCAAAAAAAGAACCATCTGTATGTATTTCCTTCTGCTGTATATGTTGACCATATTATTTATGTTTTTTAGTATTGTTCCAGTTCTCTCTGTTGTGAGTTTAGTTCCCAATCTCAATAATTCTGTTCTTTTCAGCTAAAGGAGAAGCTCATGCGTATTCTTAGACAGCCATACAATCAGGAAGAGTATGAAAAACTTTCAGAATATGTGGAGCAAGAAAAGCCAATATGCCGTCTTTTACCTTTGCGTTACAGGGCAATATCATCTGCATTGGATGGTGTGACAAAGTCGGTGCTTGATGACGTCCCTAGTAAGTTGAATTGTTTAATGCACAGGTTCAATAAAAATGTTTTCTTGTATAACATATCTGATTTCTACCGGATACCTCAAATCTTTTTTTTTCTCTTCTGCATAATTTCTAGTTTGACTTTAGACGATTGATAACCTTAATGAACTGAACAATATTGATGATTGATGATGTAACCAGTATAGATAATGGAGTCTAGTTCTTTAAATTGATGTTYTTTTACATAGGAGACATTCTTTTACTTTTTTTCCCCAGCGGTGGTTATTACAATCCCTTTGGTTTGAGGTCTGCTGCCAACARAGCTGTTGTATGTTCTTATATTGATGGTGTTAAAGAGAATTATGTCATTTCAATATATTTGCCTTTAAGATTTTTGTTAGTGTTTCTTTGTGTTCATCTTGTCGGCCMACTTTTTCTTATTTGTTCCTAGCTTCATCTATAGAATCCTTACACTTTATTTGTTTTGGCCATTATGATTTTCATTTTGTAGGTTTCATTTATATGGGGTGAAGAAAATGAAAACGATGTTAGATGCCCGAAAAGTTAAGGGACTCACAAAATGGAAAATGGAAAATGGAACATGGATCAAATCGATTCAAAAAAATGGGAATTTATGCTCGAGTCCTATCTCTACATGTCATGACTTCTAGTACAAGCCTTAACCCATCACTTTCAGCCACCATTGACTTGGCCTTGTCAACTTGTAATCTTTGACTTTCCCTTGTCTGGTTTATTAACTCAAGTTCTATATTTCAGTTGCTGCTCTAGTTTTGAGAAAAATGATTAAGGCTCTCTATTCAAGTGTCTTTGAAAGTGCAGTAWGGTTGTAGTGCTACTTTGGCATGTATGTGACAACCCTCACTTCTGACGCCCGTAACCWAAATCGTTACCCGACATGGGAAGTGGGTTAGAGTCTCAATTAACAATAAAGTCTATTGACTCTTGGTTTTGAAATATACGCAATGTCATTAGACATAATGTTCAATACAAATACACATAAGGGTAAATTAGTTACATTAGTCTAACCATTACCACCTAATATCTAAATCTCCAACTACTCAATAATCTTCCCTCATCACTCAACTTACATCCCTCACCTTGAAACTTGGGTGGGAAAATGTAAGGGATGAACAACAATGTTCAACAAGTAACTGCATCAACATAGAATAAATCATGCATAATAATGGTTATGAAATACTAGTATCGAAAGAATAATAATCAAAGCAATTGAATAACCAATAAACTGAAATTGTGTCAATGGAAGCAATAATGTGGACATGTAACTATGTTGTTCAAACATTGTTGCGATTAAGCATGAACTGCCATCTCCTTCCTTTGAGGTCCATGTATTTTCTGCAGAGGCTCCCAAGTGGGGTACCATTTTCGTAATTGTAATCCCTTGCCTTTCTTGTTGTTACGRATCYAATTGTTATGGACCAAAGCCCACATAAACCAASTATTTTAAAGGTATATTCTAGAAGGTCCAAAAGGGTAGAAAAGAAAGTGGCTAAGAAAGTTAGTTAGAGGTGAAGTGCTTAAATAAGGGAGAGGCTGGGAAGAGGAGGTATTTTGTTATTTTTCCTAAATTGTAATTGGCTCTTGGCTAAGGCTTTGAGAGAGGGAAGTTTTCCCTGGATTCCCTATTTTGTTATTAGCTTTTCATTCAATCAAATCAGYCGATTTACTCTATTCTTGTTCTGTCTTCTTACTAATTTCAGTAATCTGTGAATTGTTCTTCATCACTCGTCCGACCTGCCTCGACCTGTTGTGTGTCCATGTAAACAAGAGCCCAACAAACCCGTCTCGATCAACATGATGAACAACTCCAGCAACTTAAGTCGGATGTTTTGGAAATCAAAACRGCGATTAATGCTTGGGAGGGAGATCGTGCAGAGGAGGAGGAATTTYGCAAAATTGTAATGTCGTGGGTCAAACAACAAGGTAAGCAGCCTAACTCGGATACTGGAGGACYGTCGATGGTGTCCAGCGGTTCTCCCATCATTCCGACACTGTTGGTGGGTGATATTTCAGTGAATCAGGGGGGAGGGGGTATCTCCAATTCCGGTTTTACTATGGGAGGAGGATTCGCAATGGCGTYGGGTGGGAGTCCTTCAATTCTCTGCTCACAATCGGGATCTTCACAAGGATTTCCTTGGGCCGTAAAGAAGATTAAGCTGCCGGAATTTCATGGTTTTGATCTGCAAGGGTGGATTAAGAAAGCAGAATTGTATTTCGATATTCATGGTACGCCTTTTCACCTTCGAATTCATTTGGCGCAGTTAAGCATGGAAGGCGTCGCTCAACACTGGTTCACGATTGTTAGCCAGATTTACRATTCGATCACTTGGGAACAATTCACCCGGGAACTGCTACAACGTTTTAGCGGCCTCGAGATACAGAACCCATATGAGCAACTAGCGATGATTAAGTAGGTAGCATCTATTCACGATTACATAGACGATTTTGAATATCTGTTATCATTGGTTCCTCGATTGTCGGAACCTCAGGCTATGGGTTATTTTGTTGCGGGCCTACGGGATGAGGTTRAACGATGGGTACGTCTACATCGTCCTCAATCCCGGCTTGATGCTATGTATTTGGCAAAGGATGTMGAGGAGATGATCCATCCYTCGTCCGACAACATGGCTCTATCTCGATTTTGTTACAAGGGTGGGAGTGGATTAACTAATGTGCATTCTTACGATACTCGACCCACTTCGTTGGGCCGCTACGAGTTAAAAARGCCCAATATTTCCCCTAATAGCGATAAAAACACACTTCAACGTCCGGATCCAGGTCGTTCGTTTTCCTTGTCGCGTATCCCAGGGGCGTCYCCACTCGACAACGCTCAGTTCATTAATCGCAATCGGGGGGTTTGATCTCTTACACGCACAGAATGGGAGGAGAGACAGAAAAAGGGGTTATGTTTCCGTTGTGGACAACAATTCTGTCCAACTCACAAATGTCCRAAAGGAAAATTGCAGATACTTTTGTTGGGTGAGGATGAAACAATGGGCGACAATGGTGAGATTCATATGATGGATACGATCGATGAACAAGTGGTTCACGACGAARCCRATATCCCAGTCGGGTTATGTACCGCGTTGGAATTTTTAGAAGTTTYGTCTAATTCGTCGACCGGTGGGACAACATTGAAAATTGAAGGGGTAATTGCCGGAATTCCTGTGGTAATTTTGGTGGAYAGCGGAGCCACCCATAACTTCGTCTCACGGAAATTAGTAAYTGCTTTGGGTTTGGCTGCAAGTKTTTTTCGGGTATCAACATTCAGCTGGGCAATGGCCATAAGATTTTCGTTAATCAGCGTTGTCTGAACTTKAAAGTATTGGTGGGAGCATGTGAATTCGACGTTGAAGCATTGGTRTTTGACATGGGGCATTTAGATATGGTGCTGGGTAYGGAATGGCTCAAAAGGCTAGGTGATRTTATTCATAATTGGGAAYAATCGTCGAATTGTTTCCAATATCAGGGCACCTCGGTATACCTCCAAGGTTTTGGCAAATCCCAAGTATCGCARACGTCGCTTCATACTTGGTTATCCTTGATGGTTACATCACCTACTCTTCTAGCAGCAGATCTTGGGCGGCGTAAGTCGGCAGAAGTTGAGACGTTGTCCGTAACACAACATCGTGATTTACAGGCACTATTCAACAACTTTTCAGCTGTGTTTCGTGACCCGACGGGTCTGCCACCCGAACGCACTCATGACCATCGAGTTTCGTTGATTACTCCGCATGAACCAASCTGTGTTCGTCCCTATCGTTATCCTCACATTCAAAAGGCTGAAATTGAGAGGCAAGTATAGGAATTATTGAATTTGGGAATGATTCGTCCAAGTAAGAGCGTCTTTTCGAGCCCCGTTATATTGGTACGAAAGAAAKATCACTCGTGGCGAATGTGCGTTGATTATCGGGCCCTTAACAAAGTTACTATACCCGATAAGTTCCTAATTCCGGTAGTGGACGAGCTCATCGATGAGTTAAAAGGTGCYCAATATTTTTYGAAATTGGACTTGAAATYAKGGTATAATYAGATTAGGATGACGCCGGACAGTATTGAAAAGACTGCTTTCCGCACTCATGATGGTCATTACGAATATTTGGTAATGCCGTTTGGGCTTACAAACGCTCCGGCGACATTTCTAGCTGTGGTGAATGATGTTTTTTGTCCGTTAGTATACAAGTATGTAGTCGTTTTCTTCGACGATATCCTTGTCTACAACCCTTCTTGGTCTAGACATGTGGCTGATTTGCGGGCCGTGCTTCAAATTTTATTGGATAATCATTTGTGGTTAACCAAAAGAAGTGTTCGTTTGGCCAACAGTCAATCGAGTATTTGGGCCACATAATCAGCAGCAGCGGAGTTGCAATGGATCCCAAGAAGATTGAGGCAGTTTTAGCATGGCTAKTACTAGGGGCGGCAATGAGTCAGGTTGGGTTAGGTTGGGTTCGGGTTTAACCCATTTATTAAACAGGTTGAAAATTTCAACCTAACCCATTTAATACCCAACCCATTTATTAAATGGGTTGAAAATTTTCAACCTAACCCAACCTGTTACCTAAATGGGTTGATAGCGGGTTGACCTGTTTACAATTTACTTAAACCAACCTGTTAAATAAATGGGTTGAACCTGGGTTGACCCACTAATGTTGGACGCCTAGACGGAGAGAAAACTGAGAAGGAGACAATTAGACAAATGTTGGACGGAGAGAGAGCCGAGAGGAAGAAAAACGTTGTACGGAGAGAGAGCCGAGATCGTGAGATCGAGAGGTGAACAACAAACTTGAAGAGTTGGATTGGACTTTGGAGCGATAATGGAGTAATGGAGGCAATTGAAGTTTGGATTTTCATCTCACGATGGTAGAATCTTTAATTAAGAATAAAACAAAATAAAAAATTAGAATACTAGATATAATATTAAGAATAAAATAAAATTTTATAATATTTTAAATAGGTTGAAAACAGGTTGAAAAATTCAACCCAACCCAACTAATTTATTTAAATGGGTTAGGCGGGTTGACCCATTTATTTAAGTGGGTTGAAAATCTCAACCCAACCTGCTAATTCTGGGTTAGGTTTGGGTTGGGTTAGCGGGTTGGGTCATTTTTTGCCACCCCTAGCCATTACCCAAACAATTAAAAGGGTTGCGAGGTTTTCTAGCCTCACAGGGTACTATCGGAAGTTTGTTCGACACTACGGAAGTATTACGAAGCTCTTAAYTGATTTAACRAAGAAAGATTCCTTCTTTTGGAATTCGGAAGCTCAACAAGCATTTGAASCTTTGAAAAATGCTTTGGTCACGRCTCCATTATTGGCTTTCCYAGACTGACAACTTCCATTTGTTGTGGAATGTTATGCTTCGGGCAAAGGAATTGGGGCTGTGTTAATGCAACAACAACGACCAATTGCTTACTTTAGTAAGGCGTTAAGTGAGCATAATTTGGCCAAGTCCGCTTATGAACGGGAGATCATGGCGTTGGTTTTGGCGATTCAACATTGGCGTTCTTATTTATTAGGAACTCGTTTCACGGTTTATACCGACCAAAAGCGTTTAAAGTTTTTGCTTCAACAACGGGTAACAAGTCTRGATCAACAAAATTGGGTGGCGGAATTACTGGGTTATCAGTTTGAGATTTGTTATAAGCCGGGCCGYGAGAATAGGGCGGCTGATGCATTGTCCAGACGGGCTGAAGAAGGCGAGTTAYAGTCAATCGCATCGTACCCGATATGGCTGTAAGGGGCCTAACTCATTGACGAAGCCAGAAATGATGCGGAAATTTAGAAAATTATTCAGGATTGGCAACACGATCAGGCGAGCCAGCCYGGTTATTCGGTTCATCATGGCATTTTATTCTACAAAGATCGTTTGGTCATTTCGCGAGCTTCTAAGTTTATTCCATCRTTGCTYGAAGAATTCCATAAATTGGCATYCAGAGGTCATTCTGGCTATTATCGCACTTATCGACRTTTGGCTTCTACTTTGTATTGGCCGGGAATGATAGCCGCTGTCCAACAGTTTGTTAAAGCTTGTGACTTATGCCAATGATGTAAGGCTAGTTCTACTACTCCGGGTGGCCTCTTACAGCCGTTGGACATCCCTGATGCGATTTTGGGAACATTTTACGATGGATTTCATTTTGGGATTRCCCAAGTCTAAAGGTTATGATGCAGTGTTAGTAGTGGTAGATGGACTCTCGAAATACAACCATTTCATACTCTTAAAACACTCRTATACTGCAAAGTCAATTGCCGATATTTCTGTCCGTGAAGTCGTTCGTCATCATGGGATTTTGAAGTCCGTTGTTAGAGATCATGATTCATTATTTTTGAGCCATTTTTGGCAATAAATCTTTCGATTGCAAGGTACTCAGTTGCGTATGAGTTCCGCCTACCATCCAGAATCGTATGAAATTGAAGCCATATCGACAAATGTAAGTTGCTCCTCGTATACATCAGAAATTGACAGCAAGGTTTTTTGGGCCGTTTAAAATTGTGAATCRAATTGGACCAGTYGCTTACAAATTGGAGTTACCGGCTTCTTCAAAAGTGCACCCGGTCTTTCATGTTTCTTTGTTAAAGAAGGCCGTAGTATCAGCCACAGTGGAGCAAATTCTTCCCCCGGARTTAGAGATAAACACAACCGATATGCTGTTTCCAGTTGCTATTCTTGCAGAACGCACGGTTAGGTCTCACAATGATTCAGTGTTACAATGGTTAATTCACTGGAAGGATCGTTCGATGGRCGAGGCAACGTGGGAAGATGCGTTGGTCATTAAAAGCCAATTTCCGGATGCAAGTCTTGAGGACAAGACTTTAATTGAAGGGCGGAGTAATGTTACGGATCCAATTGATTACTCYGGATCCAATTGTTATGGACTAAAGCCCACATAAACCAAGTATTTTGAAGGTATATTCTAGAAGGTCCAAAAGGGTAGAAAAGGAAAGTGGCTAAGAAAGTTAGTTAGAGGTGAAGTACTTAAATAAGGGAGAGGCTGGGAAGAGGAGGTATTCTGTTATTTTTCCTAAATTGTAATTGGCTCTTGGCTAAGGCTTTGAGAGAGGGAAGTTTTCCCTAGATTCTCTATTTTGTTTTTAGCTTTTCATTCAATCAAATCAGCTGATTTACTCTATTCTTGTTCTGTCTTACTAATTTCAATTATCTGTGAATTGTTCTTCATCACTTGCTTACCTGGTTTTACCTTGTTCTCTTGCTTTGCATTCTTGTTTGATTCTGGGTATTCAAAAAAATTTGGTTGTGATTGTCTGCTCGCTTGACCAGCAGCTATGACATCATCAATTGTCTATTTGGCTTTCAACTTTTCTTGCTAACGGTAGCTTTACTCTTGTCTTCGCGGTTTCATCAGTACTTCCCCTTTATTAGATTTCACTTTGTGATTCTATGACCTCATATCTCAGCTTTTTACATAACCGTCTTAGTCATTGCYCTTGATGATATCTGGCCTACTTCTGTGAAACACATTCCAATCCTTCATACCATGTGTCAACCCTATAAATCGCCATATCCTTGACCTACCTTTTCCAATTGTCAGTYATGGCCGTTTTTGGAGTCTCTGTTCTGATCCCTAATCCTCACCTGTGCCTAGTTTTCTGGTAATTGGCACCACCCATCATGATGCAGCCACAAACCTGGTTGGTTCAGTTGTAATTTGTTTTCTTCAGTTGAATGYGTTTTTTCTTGTGACATCGGTATGGCTATACATTTTGTTAGCGGCCATTGCCTAACCAAGTTTATTTTAATAGTTGATAATTGTCATACTYGTCTTCACATGCTACGTTGGTGTAACTACTAAAAACCATGATGACCTTTTTGTCTATATTTATTAAGTTTTCTGCCTACGTTCATATTCAATTCTGACCTTCTTTGAAACCCTTTAGGAGTGACAATGACAGCATTTTACTTCCAACTTTTTACAAAATCTATCTTCAGCAAACTTGGCATTGAGTCCTCTTACGTTTGTGTCTGTTGCTATARGGCTATAGTTCTACAAATATGAGATACTTAACTTCCTCTTATGTTGGTTAAGGTGACTCAGAATCCTATTCTATTCTACTGTGTATAGCTTCTGGGTCACCTCTCTGTTTTGGAATATATCTTGACATTGTATTAATCAACTTTTCAAGTTTGAGTGAGGATTCTACAGCAGCAGCATCAGCAGCACCTATCCTGGTATCCAATGTTGGCAAACATTGACTTACACAGGTCGCTACTAGTTTGGATATCAAGAAGATTTTTCTGAATTCATTTTTAGAGGACATATATATGGATCAACTACCGTGATTTTCCTTTTTCTTTCAAGTTTTATAGGAGTCTAAAGTCTTCCATGTTTTCTGCTGTCTATGTGTCTTGAAACACTCCATTTGGCCTGGTTTAAGACGGTTCTTTGAGATTCTCTAGCTGTTTGGCTTGTCCATACAGCTATGCAGTTTACTACAGACATTGGCAAGGCAAACACATAATATCGATTATGTAGGTGACATTGCTTTCACATCTGATTTATTTTAGGTATTGCTGACCTGGTGGTCGCTGATTTTGTGGTCTGATACTAGGATTGGAGGTATTATCATCACATTTGGTGTTCTTACTTTGCTGAAGCAACTTCTATGATTGTGGCATGCTTGGATAGCAGACTCATTCATCGGCTCAGTCAGGAAAGTTGCCAAGTTTTTCTAAGAAATATAAAATTGCAAGACTTCTGATGCTCCTGTTATTCAGAGGTCAACCATGAGATATTCTCTACTTTATAGCCAACAACCTTTTAACATGACAGAGCAGGAAACAACTTGCTGTCTCTTGTTAGAATGCATACTATGCATCTCTGGCCATGACCAATCTTGCTTACAAAATGACTTGGGTCAGGGAGAGCCCGGAACACCAACTGACWAACTGAGGCGGCTAAAAACATATCATGTAACCAAGTCTTTTGTGGGAGGAGCAAACATAAAGAAGTCCACTACCTCATAATCATATATAACCATGTTATGGGTTCAATAACAAGCCTATGATCAGCTCGTAGACATCTTGACCAAGTCACTGCAGAAACCCAACATTAATTTCACATTCATACCATAAATCTTTATTATCAACTAAACTAATTACTAAGAAGTTCAATTATCTTCTAACATTCTTTCTGGAACTAGGGATGAAATTCTTTAGAGRCATTATATTTATGGAGCCGAGTGACCTTTACTAGTATGATAGTTGCTTATCGCTGGTTAGGGCATCATTTGTTCTGATTATAAAGAAGCGAAGGGTCGACTTTCTGAGTTCTCATGTGAGTTGTGTCAGTTGGCAAGACACTCTCACATGTCTCATTCCTCTAGAAGAATCAATCATGTAGATGCTCTGTTCAAGTTTCTTTATATTTGCAACTTTTAATTGCTTATTTTCGTGCATAATCTTATGGTTTTTCCTTCTAGAAACTCCCTTGTATGCATCTAGTTTCTGCTTGCTTTTTTTGTTCAAACTACAATTTGTATAACTTAAGTTTTTCTATTATTTAGCATTGAATTTTTTTATTACCTTAATCATGCAGCAAGTTTTAGGAGGAAACTTCAAGCTGCCCAGAATGAGCGACCTAGAGCTCTTAATCTCTTGCGGATGTTTTGCTTCTGGCTAGAAGTAAGCTTTCTGAAGAAATTATATTTCTCATGAATTACTTTTCAGGGCTGGTTGCTTTATTATCTCTCGTATTAAATCTGTACTCTCTTCTTTCAGAAAGCATATGAATCCAAAATATAGATTATCTTGTATATATAAGCTTTAAGTTTGAATTTTTATCATATTTTTCAACATAATAATAATATTGTCATATTAGGTTGTATTGCATCTGTTTATGTTTACTTCTTTCCTGACAAGATCTTCTTTTTAATACAAGTTGATGAATGGTTTAACTAAATTTTTTAGCTTCTACTTTTATGGTACTATGATGTCATCCCTAATCTCCCCCATCCCATTTYATTACCTTGGTGTTGTGACTGTGTGATGTCTTCTATCCAGCACAACTCAACTTACACAAACATGAGGATGTAGTAGGGCCGTAGGCTACTATTTATATCCACTTAGTCTCATGTAGATCAACACAAATCCATTTTATTTTCTTTATCTTTTGTTTTCTATGATTTATGTCCTGTTTCCATCCTATTTGCGTGTTGGGAGGCCTATCCTTTGACCGCTAATATTTTATTATTTGCTATATATTTGTACTTTCTCTGCGTCTTCYTTAACTCACTTCCCATTTGTCAAAACCCACCACAAAACCAATAAAAGGTTTCTCTGTTGTAAAATTGAAACTTCAAGTTTTCAGTGTTGTTTACTTTTTGCCTTGAAACATTGTGGTGGTTGTGTCTGGATGCGTAAGGTGCATTAGTGAACCATAAGGAGTAGCTCAACGAGAGGTCCACGAGGGTTTGTTTGACTGTTAACTTCAGGGCCCATGGGATTAGTTGCAAGCTTGGCCCAGACACGTTATGAATATGGTGCACTAGTGACCAGTCCATAGAACAAGTCGAATGAATCAAAGTTGACCTAGTGCCAGGTCAACTCCAAATATTCGCTTCTCAACTGATAAGATCTTGGGTTTGCTTTTAAAAGGTCAAGTTCCCTCAGGGCCACCGGAGGGTGGTGCCCATGGGAATGTGCACCCAGAAACTCACGGTTACCAAAAAGGTTAGCATGTTCTAGGACACCGCCATCTTTTGATATTCCATTGTGTATGTTTGTTAAGCTTAGACATTTTGGCCCATGGAAAAATCAGCACCTATTATTGAATCTACTTATATATCTTTTGCTTTTTCGTGGTACAGCATGTGCCCAACGAAGACGTATTCCAACCATGGCTGAATGACGAGTGTCTGAAAGTGCTACCGTTGASTAGGAGATAAGGACGGACCTGCTATTGGATCAACTAACCACTTCTTTTGGCTGCAGATATGTAMGTAAGATGGCAATGAGATTGTGACTTCATTTTTTGGTTATGGAAGCTCCTTGYTTATGTAATTGGTCCTGATCCAGATGTTAACCGGTTTTTTTGTGTTTTCTCATGTCCATCTCTAGCATGAATCATCTTGAAAATGTACATCTTTAGAAGAAAAAAATTTGATTTCTGTGATGATTTTTGGTTGTCAAAGTTAGAATTGCACCAATTTCTTGGCATAGAGCCATTTCTTACTTTAAAATMTTGAAACCATTACAGCATTACTAACGATTATGTTATAATAGAAATTTATAATTTTGTGTTACAACGGTTATGTTATATTGTATGGTAAAATAGAAAAAAGAAAGACAGAAAATATGAAAATCTCACTTTAGAGAAATACTTATTTTTAAAGAAATTTCTAAAACTTTATAGTAATTCAATATTTTTGACTAATAAGAGGTATCAAAGATAAATGTTAACAGAGAAAAATAATATTTTATTATATATATTGAATATTTTAATAAAATGGTTAATGCTAAAATTAATATTTTATTAAAAAAAATTATAACATAGCTTTTGCTTTTGTAGATGCTATTAGATACAACCGTAGGTGTACATGTTTGAAACTTTTTTTTTAATAAAAATGATTCTTTTAATTTATTTTATTTAAAATAAAACTTAATTTTTTAATTTGAGTTAGTTATAATCAATATTCAGTATCACTTTTGAGTTTTGAAAAGCTATATCTATATCTATACTATATTATAAAATATTTGACAAAAA